CCCCAAATGCAAATTTTCATTGTACTTGGTGGCTTGGGAAACCTCATTAATATTCACAGGAGATGTGCTAGCAAGTGGTTGTCTGTAAATGTGCTATATAAATAAACTTGAACTTGAACTGACAATGGGTGTTAATTCTGGCATAGCAGCATTCCGCTTTTTGTGTGTGGACCCTTTCTGCTGCCCTGTTCCATTTCAGCAGAGCATAACAGGCTTACACTGTTGGTAGTTAGCTGATCTAAAGGCCATGTTGCGTCCCTGAGTTCTAGGTCAGACACCTTGGTTAAACCAAGGGTTCTGATTAGGAATTAAACGTTCTATAAATTATGTCTGAAAGTAGATTTTGAAGAGTGGGAGTGCTTTAGTTAATTTTACAGTGTAATATAATAGAATGGATATAAGAGCAAAGGTTACTTACAGTGGTCCTGTTTGGATAGAGGTGGTGTTCCTGCTGGTTGGCCTTGCAGGAGATGAGGTTGTGATTGAGTTGTCAATTGCAATACCAGAAGTAATAATGTCTTGTTGTTTTGTTGGGAATACAGGGAGGGCTGCAGAAATCAAAAAAAGTTCAAATGAAACTAAATTTAAGAAGGCAGTTATAGGTTTTGATGGTATTTTTTGTTTCGTTGAACTGAAGTCTCACAGTCATGATACAATTAAATTATTTAATCTTTCCATTATATTGAATAGTTTTTTAATCCCTTTACCTAAATCGGGAAACAGATAAGAAATACATCATGTAACATTACAGCTCCAACAGTCTGGTAGCTGGACAGGAAGTTTACTTTCATGAGTTCAAAACACATCCATACTCAGCATTTATGACTAAGCTAAGCCTACAAAAGAAACGCAATGGAGGGTCATACGAAATCATAGGTGACATACACAGAATGCAAGCTGTGCACAGGGACCCCATCAACCAAATCTGCTGCTCAGCCAGAAGCTCAAGAACAACTAAACTGACAGATCAACATCCCCTCATCAGTCTGCTCCTGGATCCACAACTTTTTGTCTAACAAAACAGTTACATCAGGGTTGGTGACCACATTTATGACCCCCTCTGCCTCGCCGGTGTTGCATGGGGTTGTGTGCTCTCTCCCTCTGCTCTGCTCTCTCTACACCAATGACTGCACTTCTGACAGTGACTCTGTTAAATTTATTAAAGTTGCAGATGACACCACGCTGGCTGGTCTCAAAAAACGACGGGTCCATATACTGGGAAGAGGTAATGTGGCTGGTGTCATGGTGCAGAGCTAAGGACCTGGAGCTAAACACAAACAAAACTGTGGAGCTTGATTTTAGAAAGAAACACTACGTCCATTGGAAAGACACGACTCCACTGTCAGCAAAGCGGAGTCTTACAAATTCTTAGGCACTACCATTCAGTGGATCTCAGACGGGACAGACACAGTGCTGCAGTTATGAAGGCCCAGTTGCTCTTTTATTTCTTGCAACAACTCAAGAAATCTGTATTGCGTCAAGCACTACTGATCCAGCTCTACACAGCCATGATCGAGTCCATCATCACATCTACCATCACCATCTGGTATATGGCTCTGCATCTTCATACAAGAAGCGAAAGCTGCAGCTAATGGTGCGACGTGTGGAGAATATCATCGACTGTCAGCTCTCCACCATCAAAGACCTCTACTCCCCCAGGATGAAAAGGTAGCGGGGAAAATTATACCAAACCCCCCCACACCCTGGTCACTCTCTTTTCCAGTGTTTCCCATCTCAGTGGAGACTGACAGCTCTAAAGGCTCGGACCAACCTCCACCTCCACAGCTGCTTTTGCAGTGTAAAGCACGCCGCCACTGGACACTAGAGCAGTGGAGACATGTTCTCTGGAGTGACGAATCATGCTTCTCTGTCTGGAAATCTGATGGATGAGTCTGGGTTTGGTGGTTGCCAGGAGAACGGTATTTGCCTGACTGCATTGTGCCAAGTGTAAAGTTTGGTGGAGGGGGGATTATGGTGTGGGGCTGTTTTTCAGGGATTGGGCTTGGCCCCTTAGTTCCAGTGAAAGGAACTCTTAATGCTGCAGCATTTGAAACCATTTTGGATAAGTTCATGCTCCAAACTTTGTGAGAACAGCTTGGTGATGGCCCCTTCCTGTTCCAACATGACTGCGCACCAGTGCACAAAGCAAGGTCCATAAGGACGTGGATGAGCGAGTCTGTTGTGGAGGAACTTGACTGGTCTGCACAGAGCCCTGACATCATCCCGATAGAACACCTTTGGGATGAATTAGAGTGGAGACTGAGAGCCTGGCCTTCACGTCCAACATCAGTGTCTGACCTCTCCTGGAAGAATATTCAAAATTCCCATTAACACACTCCTAAACCTTGAGGACAGCCTTCCCAGAAGAGCTGAAGCTGTTATAGCTGCAAAGGGTGGGCCAGCTCCATATTAAAGCCTCTGTATTAAGAATGGGATGTCATCAAAGTTCATGTGTGTGTAAAGGCAGGTGTCCCGATACTTTTGGCAATAAAGTGTAGATGATTTGTCATTTAGATTTCGGTGTCTTTGGTGAGGGCACATTTTAGAAGTCATTTTAAAAAATACTGCTAAAATTACAGGACATGTTTGCAGTGATTAGACCCCAGCTAGGAGAAGAGCCGTAACAGAATGGAGTGAGCAATGATGTTGAAGGGAAAGAAGGAGAAGAGAGACAGGTGGATGGTGAAGGCAGTGATGGTGAAGGCAGTGATGATGAAGGCAGTGATGGTGAAGTCAGTGATGCTGAAGGCAGTGATGGTGAAGGCAGTGATTATTGCATAATGGCATCAGGACACAGCACATGGACAATGATGCAATAGTACACCGGTGCTGGACTTCAGAAATGACCCACAGGCAAAATAACAAACAAAACCCAGACCTACTATGAATACAATATCTTAATATATACTGGTACTGTTCTGTTCGTGGATTTTCAGTACATTTAAATGTAGCTGGCATTTGGTAAAGCAATCAGGAAAAAAAACATAATTCACAGCTGCACTATACAAATGAATAAGAGTTCAATTTTCTTTGAATTCTCTTAAGTTTACATTTTACAGTAAATCTACACTTGCCAGTTATTTTAGACACTGCTAGATATGCCTGTCATTGTCATCATTTATTTCACAGTATAGAGCAGCATGTTCACTGTTCATCTTCCATTTTCTAAGTAAAATGTCACATTGAACAGTGATCACAAACATACATGATCTGTCCCTTACCTTTCCTGACTTTGACAAGAACAGCAGAACGTTCATCTGTAAAAAATATTGATATTGCACACCAGTATGTCCCTTCATCTCTCTCCTGGATGTCCTTCATAGTTATTTTTAGTACTTTGTTACCCTTATTGTCAATCAGAAACAGTCCACTTCTGGATATTTCTGAAGAATATTTCTGTAGTTCTTTTTCAATTCTGATGTCACTAGGAAGATGATAATTTTGTGTGCTTTTCCCCTTACAGCACTTTTGTAATTTGGTAATAATTTTGTAAAATACAACACAAATGACAGAAACAAATTAGAGCTGAATATTCTCTTCAGTTGACATTTTGCTAAACTTCTACATTTGCTGGTTATTTTAGACGCTTCAAGCTATTAAAAGCTTCACTGTCATTGTCAGCCTTTAACTCAAAGCAGACAGATGAATGTTCACTGTTTATATTCTGTTCTCTAAGTATGAAATTTCACTGAACAGTGATCACAAATATAAATGATCTGTCCCTTACCTTTCTTAACTTTAACAACAACAGGAGAATGTTCATCTCTCCCAGCAGTTGATATTGCACACCAGTATGTCCCTTCATCTCTTTCCTGGATGTCCTTCATAATTATATTTATTACTCTGTGAGTCTTATTCTCACTCAGAAACAGTCCACTTCTGGATATTTTTGAAGAAGTTGTTTTTGCCAAAATGTAACAAGGTCTAAATGTCGTTCTTTCACACCAGTATTTTTCATCGTTTTCATGTCCTTTCTGATATCCACACTCCACTGTCAGATCTTCATGCTCCATCACTGTAATTTCCTTCGGGCCCCATATAGCCTGACAGTGGGCACCTGGAGAGACAAAATGGTCAGAGACCAAACACTAGATACTCCCGACTTTACCACACTTACAGTGATTTACGGGGGACTGAACACTGGACTCCCACTGAAATTACACAAGGGAATCAGCTTCATTACGAGATTAGAGAAGACCAAAGTGCCAAAAAACCATATAAGTAATTGTAACAAACTGGTATCTATGGTTTCTTATGGAGGACTACTTCCTCAATCAGGGTGAAAATTGTTGCCCTAGAATGTTTGAAACACCTATCATCTTTTATCCCTGGTGACTGGAAATAAATCTATATTCTGAAAGCAAGAATTTACATTGTCCATATCACTCAATACTAATTCATTCTACCTACTATTTCCTTCTACTGAACAACACACCAGTCATATCATTGCTCAGAAGATACAAGCACGCCGGCCTATTTCGTGGTGCGCAGTGATACTATTGGTGTGTGAAGTTCAGTAGAAGGAAATAGTCAGTACATTATACTTTTACAAATATATTTTTCTAGCGCTTTAACCATCACAGATATAACGCCATTCACTCTCATTATGTTCTAAAGAAGTCCAACATTTCTACAGCAGATATCTCCAAATCTAGGCTACTTCCAGCAGAACAACATAGATGTATAGACAGCACTAAAGCCCCTTCAAAACATATCATTTTTCAGTTTTGGGGTGAACTGCCTCTTTAATGAAATTTGTCTAGTTGTATTATATGGCATATTGTAAAAGCATCCATTACCTTTCAGAAGGACAAAGATCAGAAACAGTTTCATTGTTTGCAAATGCATCACATCGCGTCTCATAGACCTTGCCACAGCTCGTCCTACGGGTTAGGGTGTGGATTAGCTTTGACCTCTTCCTCTTTTGCATTTTGTTTCATTTTCACTTATCTAGGGTGGCCAGATAATCCATGTCAGGGAGGACACTTTGAGCTACTTCGGGTTTTACAAACTACTTCCAAATTAAAAGGCTCCTGTGCTCGGCTAAAGAGTTCAGCTCTTCTTGTGCTTTGACTGGTTTGTTTCCTTGCCTGAAAGACTCATCCAGCTGTTT